TTGCAGCAGATTTGCCCGGTGCAGTACATCATTTGATTTCTTGACTGCTGCTTCCATAGACGTTGATTGTGGATCCAAGTAAAATGAAATTCTTGGCAACTTCAGTATTTTCTCTATTTATCGTGATGTTTCTTATTTGTCCAGTTGTTGTTGTTCAGTGCCGTCAAGTCGGTTCCAACTCATAGTGACCCTCTGTACCACGGAACGAAACACTACCCAGTGCTTGCCATGCTCACAATCGTTGTTATGCTTGAGCCCATTGTTGCAGCCACTGTGTCAGTCCATCTTGTTGAGGGTCTTCCTCTTTTCCGCTGATACTCTACCTTACCAAGCATGATGTCCTTCTCCAGGGACTGATCCCTCCTGACATGTCCAAAGCATGTAAGATGTAGTCTCACCATGCTTGCTTCTAAGGAGCATTCTGGTTTTACTTCTTCCAAGGCAGATTTGTTCGTTCTTTTGGCAGTCCATGGTATATTCAGTATTCTTCGCCAACACCACAGTTCAGAGACTTCTATTCTTCTTTGGTCTTCCTTATTCATTGTCCAGCTTTCACATGCATATGATGTGATTGAAAGTACCATGACTTGGGTCAGGTGCACCTTAGCCTTCAAGGTGACATCTTTGCTTTTTAACACTTTAAAGAGGTCTTTTGCAGCAGATTTGCCCAATGCACTGTGTCTTTTGATTTCTTGACTGCTGCTTCCATGGGTGTTGATTGTGGATCCAAGTAAAATTGTGGATCCAGTTGTAAGTTCCCTTAAAAAAAAAAAAAAACCAGACCAAATCTGTTGCCGTCTAGTTGATTCCGACTCATAGCAACCCTATAGGACAGAGTAGAACTGCCCCATAGGGTTTCCAAGGAACAGCTGGCGGATTCAAACTGGCAGCTAAAATTTTGGTTAGCAGTTGAGCTCTTAACCATTGTACCTCCAGGGCTCCGTAAGGTCCCTAGGGTAGCACAAACGTCTTGTACTCGACTACTAACTTGAAGGGACCAATCCCTGGAGAAAGACATCATGCTTGGTAAAATAGAGGGTCAGCAAAAGAGGAAGATCCTCAACGAGATGGATTGACACAGTGGCTGCAACAGTGGGCTCAAGCAGCAGTAATTGTGAGGATGGCACAGGACTGGGCAGTGTTTCATTCTGTTATACATAGGGTCATTATGAGTCAGAATGTACTCGACGGCACCTAACAGCAACAACAACCTGAAGGTTGGCAGTTTGAGCCCACTCAGCAGCACTGTGGAAGAAAGGCCTAGCAAGCTGCTTCTGTTGAGATTACAGCCAAGAAAATCCTAGGGAGCTCAGTTTTATTCTGTAACACATGGTTTCGCATAATTCAGGATCAACTTGTCGGCAAATTTTTTTTTTTTTTTTAACATGACTTATAAGGGCTAACGTGACTGGAAGAGCCTTTCTCTCTGACTTCATCTTTGCCAATCACCCGTCAGATTTTGTAGTTCAGCCATAGTGAGCTTGTCTCCCATGTTGTTGGGTGCTGTCAAGTTTTCTTCAACTCACAGCGATCCCATGTGACAGAGTAGAACTGCCCCCTAGGGTTTTCTTGGCTGTAATCTTTAGGGAAGCAGATCACCAGATCTTTCTCCTGCAGAGTGGCTGAATGGGTTGGAATTGCTGAATCAGACATGTCACACTGTATTGGGACTTGTGTACTCCTGTCACCCTCTGTAGACTGTGAGCTCCTTCAAGGCAGGGACCTGGTCAGATTTGCTGTGTAGCTCTAGTGCTTAGCACAGTGCTTGGCTCATAGAAAGGATGCAGGAACTGTCTTTTGAGTGAATGATTATCACTAATATCCAAAGTATAAAAAGACTCTTTAGGGTCAGCTGTGGCAAAAGATTTGATTCTTCAAATGGCATGAAAACAGAAATTCTTAAATTCGTTTGAATGTGCAGAACTGTCTTGTAGGCTGTAACTTTATTTTTAGCTGTAAGTTTGGAGTATTAATGGGAATTGCATTGATTTTATGGATACTTTTGTGTAGACTTTGCATTTTTACGATATTAAATCTGTTTATGAACAATATAATTTGTAATTTTGCCTGTAAAGATCTTATACGTATGTTGAAAGATTTATTTTAAGGTATTTCATCTTTTTTTGATTTTATTGCAAATGAGGTCTTTTTAATTATGTTTTCTTATGGATTATCGTTGATCCATAGAATGTGATTGACTTTTGATTATTAATCATATACCCAGGGAACTTTTGCTTTTGTTTTTATCTTTGAAAAGAAGTGTATAAATCTCGAGTCTGTGATTTGTCATGTGTGTGTGTTTGCATATGCGTATGTGGGTTTTGGAGAGTGGTGGTGTTGAGGATGGGTTTTTAAAATTCCTAAGGAATTACTGCCACATAGGGTTTCTAAGGAGTGGCAGGTGGATTTGAACTGCAGACCTTTTGGTTAGCAGCCTAGCTCTTAACCACTGTGCCACCAGGGCTCCAAAAAGTAGGGTTTCCAGAGAGCAGTTGGTGGATTTGAACTGCCAGCCTTTTGGTTAGCAGCCAAATGCTTAACCACTGTGCCACCAGGGCTCCTCTATGGGACAGTTGTACTCTGTCCTATAGGGTCGCTATGAGTCAGAATTGACTCCATGGCAATGGGATGATGTAGATGTGAAGTCATTACTGGATCCACTGAGACTAGGGGAACCCCTGAATCTATCACCAGGAAATAATATTTAAACCTTGAACCAAACTATCCCATTAAGCCATCATTAAACAACAGTTTAGCTCAGTTAACAAAATGCCTTGAGCATTGTGCTCTTATAAATGAATATCTGTATGAGTTCAAATTGGTAACAGTTCATCTTAAACACAGATGAGAAATTTAAGGAGCAGAGGGTCTAATGATGATAAACAATATGGGTACAGATACTGAGAACGGTGACCAATGTCACTGAACTGTTCATGTAGAAATTTTGAATGGACGTGTGTTTGGTTGTATATATTGCCACCAAAAATAAATAATAAAAAAAGAACGATTATGTATCTAAAGACCAACTAATGAGTATGTTTCCTTTTTAAACAGCAACCTAGCAACCCAGTATATAAATACACATTCATACACATTCTTAAGTCATTTTTCATAGTTTCTAACATGTAAGGCCGACCCTGAGTCTCAGAGTGAGGATAATAGTGGACCGTAATGTTCCCAGCTTTTAGGTTAGTCAGTGTCTTAGTCATCCAGTGCTGCTAGAACAGAAATACCACAAGTGGATGATTTCAATGAAGAGAAGTTTATTTCCTCATAATCAAAGTAGGCTGAAAGTCCAAATTCAAGGTGTCAGCTCCAGGGGAAGGCTTTCTCTCTATCGGCCTTCTCATCAGTGTTCCCCCAGACTAGGAGCTTCTGGACGCAGGGATCCCGGTCCAAAGGACGCGCTCTGCTCCCGTCACTGCTTTCTTGATGGTATGAGGTCCCCCTGTCTCACTGCTCACTTCTGTCTTTTATATCTCAGATATTGCCTCAGGACACAATACAGTCTTGTAGATCAGGTCCTGCCTTACTAACACAACTGTCACCCATCCTCCCTCATTAACATCATAGAGGCAGGTTTACAACATACAGGAAAATCACACAGTACCCGGAATCATGGCCTAGCCAAATTGATACACACATTTTTTGGGGGACATAATTCAAACCAGGACAGTCAGACATTTCATGCAGTCATAAATATCAAAGAGAAGAGTCTCTCATACATGTTGAAACCCATGAGAGCTGGAACTCGACAGGACTGCCTTATTTTTCCGGGTCTCACAAGTTTGACAGGGTGCAGTTTTACCACTTTTCTGTGGCTCTCTATTAGTGGAAAATATTTTAGAGTTCCTTCTCTGACAGGTTTCAGCCTTGCACAGGTTCTGGCTTTCACAGGCTTTACTGTAGCTAATATCTTTGAATTAAGACATGTATATGTTTTTCATGGAGTCCCTGGGTGGTGCAAGTGGTTAATGCACTCGGCTGCTAACCAAAATGCTGGAGGTTCGAGTCCACCCAGAGGTGCCATGGAAGAAAGTCCTGGTGATCTACTTCTGAAAAATCAGCCATTGAAAACCCTGTGGAGCACAGTTCTACTCTGACACATATGGGGTCGCTATGAGTCGTTATTGACTTAATGGCAACGTTTTTCCTGGATGTTTTCCATTCTAGGGATGGTTCTTCACGATGCAGACCGTATTGTTAAATATAAGTATAGAAATACAGCAATGTGCCGCTTTTGTGTTTCAGTATCCGGAGCGTGATGCAGAAGTATCTTGAGGAGAGAAAGGAAATAACCTTTGACAAGATTTTCAACCAGAAAATCGGTAAGTCCTGCTCGTCCCTTTGTCATGCTATCATTTCCATAATGATACCGGGTGACACTAAACGCCTCCCCTGATACTTTGTATGCTTTATAGCTAAGGCTGGGAATGAAGGAAATGCCACATACTTATCATGATACTTAATGATTTTTTATATTCCTAGTAATAGACATCTTATGAATTAACGCTTGGGAAACAGACAAATTTGGCTCTATTTTAAGGCAGTTTAGGGGGTTGCCAAAGTCAAAGGACTGGATACTGGATAACCAAAAAGAAGTTCTTTCTGTTTGGCCCCTTGTTTACAGCTAACATGAGTACACTGCCCTCCTTCAGGACTTAAAATGCGCTTGTCTGAGGTCCACAGCTTCTCCAATGCTGCTTTACTGTCTGTGATCACAGGGATTTGGCATGTGTCTTCGTAAACAATATTCCACTCCTGTGGTTGGCTATCTCCTTCCAAGGGGTGGGGCTGGATGACTTAATCTTACCAGTGTTCACACATTCATGGGTTTTGTGTGCAGCTTTTACTGATCAGGACCACATCAGTTATTCTTACTCCTGTGGCTCCATTTGGAATCTCTCCTTAGCAGGTCAAGCGGACCTCCCTCTGTTTTATATATATATGGGTTGGGAGCCGACCTGTCCCTGACCAGTTCCCAGCTGGTCTGGCCAGTGGTGGTCTTGGCCTGTGCAGATGTGCTGTGTGCTGGGGTGCTCTATTGTAGTTGAGTCGATTCCAACTCATACCGACCCCATGCGACAGAGTAGAACTGCCCCGTGGGTTTTCCAGGCTGCAGTCTTTGTGGGAGCAGATCACTAGGTTTTTCTCCTGTGGAGCCGCTGGACAGTTAGAACCACTGGCCTTACATTTAGCAGCTGAGTGCTTAATCATTGCGCCATGAGGGTTCTGTAGTTAGCTAGCAGTTAATGGAGGGGGAGCTTGTGAGGAGTGCACAGGGGTTGCTTTATTGTGGAGTCTCAAGGCCAGTGAGGAAATGAGACATTATGTTGTCATCTGCCTTCTAAAAGGCTGGCAGTTTGTTTAGAGATGGCCACCAGCAGGGTTCAATAATAGCTATAGTCTACATGCTTTTCTTCTTTTTCATTCCCACAAAACAGTTCCTCCTGTCCAGAAATTTCCTCAACAATATTTTGTTCTCAGCCAGGGTAGGATTCGTTATGTGGCCTGCCATCTAGCCATGTTGTCAATCTTACCATTGCACGGGTAAGTGGATAATTTTAGAGCTTTTACATGAAATCAGCATAGCTGAACATAAGAAAACCAATGTTTCTTTACTCTTCTTTGCCACCGGTTGTGTCCCACAGTTACTCAGATGATTTGCCAAGGAACTATGCATCTTAGTTTTTAAATTATTTTCTTGCTGGAGGAAATTACTTTGTTAACATTCCAAGAAATTAAGATCATATTAATTGTTCCCTAGAACTCTTATTTCTGTAAATAGTTCTGTTTCCATGATTAACAGACATACTGATAGGTCCCTTTGTGACTGAGAGTTCTGGGTAGCTCTGGGTTATCCCTTTTATGTATAGATGGGAGATGTAGACACTGAGAGGTGAAGTGACTTGTTCTGATTTCCATTTCTCCTTCCTTTCTACTGTGATAATTCTTTAAATATTATTGAAAAAGAAACAATGGATATAAAATGGAATGTAGAGGGTCACCTGGTAAGAACTGGATAGACTTTTTAGAAACACAATACTTCTTTTTGTTCAAGTATGATAAGTGCCTCAGTGATCTAGTAGCTGCCATGAAAAAAAGAACCACAAATGGATGGCTTTAAAGAACAGAAATTTATTTCTTCACAGTTCAGGAGACTAGTCCAAATTCAGGGTGTGGCTCTAAGGGGAGGTCCTTCTTTTTCTATTTCAGCTTCCAGTAGCTGCCGCAATCCTTGATGTTGCTGGGCTTGTAGATGTGTCTGCAGTGTGTGTCTGTCTTCATGTGGTGTCTTCCCTCGTGTGTGTCTCTGTGTCTGTTCTGCTCTTTTTACAACTCAGAAGTGATTAGGTTTAGGACCCATCCCTTTCTGGTATTCCCTCATTAACATAACAAAAGAAAACTCCTATTTGCTTTTGATTTTGTACTAAAAAAAGAAAATGAAACTATAAGATAGTGAGAGAGAAACTACCTTTGAGGGAAGGAAAGAAGGAATTATTTATTAAAAATTTTAAAATTTATTTTTTTTACAGCTTTATTGAACTATAATTCACCTACCGTAAAATTCACCCATTTAAAGTGGACAGTTCAGTGGTTTTGGGTATATTCAGAGTTGTGTAACCATCACCACAATCTAATTTTAGAATTCCTTTTTTTTATTGTTGTTGAAAATATACACAGCAAAACATGCACCAGCAATTTCTACATGTACAATTCAGTGACGTTGATAACATTCTTCAAGTTGTACAATCATTCTCACCCTCTTTTTTTCCAAATTGTTCTTCCCTCATTAACATAAACTCACTGTCCCCAGAGCTTCCTATGTAACCTTTTCAGTTGCTGTTGTCAATTTGATCTCCATATAGATGGTTCTTAAAAGAGTACAGTGCTCATAGCAGACATTCTTTACTAGTTAAGCTAAACTATTGTTTCGTTTAAAGAATACTTCAGGGGATATTTTTGGTTTAAGGTTTAAAGTTTCAAGATTATGTCAGGGCAGTAGTTTCAGGGCTTCATCCAGCCTCCATGGCTCCAGAAAATCTAGATTCTATGCAAATTTGAAATTCTGTTCTGTGCTTTTACCCTTTTTGGTCAGGATTCGTCTATAAAATCTTTGATCACCGTGTTCAGTAATGGTAGATGGGCACCATCCAATTCCAGAGCAGCTCTTAACGAATGGGAATAAAGTTGCTGGGTGAAGTAAATAAAAGTCCTAGCCCTATCAGCAATATCACAGTAGCTATGCATGTTCTAATTGTATAGTATTGAATGTGATGTCGACCACAATCTAATTTTAGATTAGGATTTTCAGCACTCCAAAAAGAAACCCCATCCCCACTGACAATCATTTCCTATTCCTTGCTTCCCCCAGTCCCTGGAAACCACTAATCTGCTTTCTGTCTCTATGGGTTTGCCTATTCTGGACATTTCACTTGAATGGAATCATATAATATGTGGTGTTTTGTGACTGGCTCCGTTTTTTCACTTAGCATAATGTTTTCAAGGTTCATCTATGTTGTAGCATGTATCAGTACTTCATTCCTTTTTCTGGCTGAGTAATATTCCATTGTATGGATATGCCACATTTTGTTTATTCATTCATCATTTGATAGACATTTAGGTTTTTTCCACTTTTAGGCTATTATGAATAATGCTGCTGTGAAAGGAAGGACTTTTGCACATATTAATTTGAACAAGTGATTCCTTATTATTAAGATATGACTGGTAGACTTGTACTCTGGTGTTCATTGCAGCGCTATTCACAATAGCCAAAAGGTGGAAACAACCTAAATGCCCATGAACAGATGAATGGTTATACAAAATTGGTACATACATACAATGGTATACTACTCAGCCAGTAGGAGAAATAAAGTCTTGATACATGCTACAGTATGGATGGAGCTGGAAGACATGCTGAGTTAAATAAGTCAATCACAAAAGGGCAAATATTGTATGACTTCACTTATATAGAAAGACAAAAAAAGGCAAATATATAGAGAACAAAGTTTATCAGTGTTTACCAGGGGCGGGAGGGAGAAGGGAAGGGGGAATTAATGGTGATGGAAATATTGCATTGATTACGGGTAGGGTTGCACAGCCAATCATTGTAATTGCTGTCAGTAAGTTGTATACCTGCACAAAGTTAAATAGACAGAAGTTGTGTGATAGATGTATTTACAACAACAACAACAAAATCGATGCTGAAGCTGCTTATGTATAACCAAAGACCCCAAGGGATTTGGTTGCTTGGTTTGGAGGTTTAGGGTCATGGTTTCATGAGACATCCCAGTTAACTGGTCTAATAACATTTTTAGTCCTTCTATTCTACCTTCTAGTTCATTGCATAGGGTCTTAAAAGCTTATAAGCCACAATCCAAGGCACAAAGGTTGGTCTCTCTTTGCCTGGAGCAACAGAGGAAGAAGGAGAGTCAGGAATAGGAGGAGGATATGGAATGTGTGGCTAACTGCCTCCATGAAAAACTGTCTCTTTTGCTGTGAGACCAGAAGAACTTGATGGTGCAGAGGTGTAGTGGGGGTGGCTAAAGGGGGACACTTGCCCCCACGCACAAGTCCAAGGGGGCACCAGCTGAGGTAAGAAATGGAATTCTGAGGTGCCACAAATATGAAAGGTGCCTGACTGAGGCAGCTGGAAAAGAGGGGGAAGGTGTTTTTGCTGACTTATCACCACTATCAATATCTGTTTATCTTGAAATTGGGTGGGGCGGGGTGCAACTTAGGGATTGCCCCTGGGCACACACTACCCTCACTGTACCTCTGGGGTGGTGCCTGGCTACCATTACTGAACATTTTGATCAAAGATTCTGTAGGAGAATCCTGATCAAAAAGGGGAAAGGGCAGAACAGAATTTTAAATGCTCATGGACTCCACACTTCCTGGAGCCATGAAGGTTGGATGAACTCCTGAAACTATTGTCCTGAAATAATCTTTAAACCTTAAACCCAAAATATCCCCTGAAGTCTTCTTAAAACCAAATAATAGTTTAGGTTAACTAGTAAAAAATGTCTGCCTTGAGCATTATGCTCTTTTAAGAACTATCTGTATAGGATCAAATTGACAAAGGCAACTTGAAAGATTAGATAGGAACCTTAGGGAGCAGTGAATATGTTAATGGGGGAGAAACAACTTAGAAAAGGAGGGTGAGAATGGTTGCACAACTCGAAGAATGTAATCAGTGTCATTAAATGGTACATGTAGAAACTGTTGGATTGGTGTATGTTTTACTGTGTATACTTTCATCAACAACAACAAAATAAAAACAAAAAGATGTGACTGGTAGGTTGTGACAAACCTGTTATTCTGGCAGCTCTGATTCCAGTTTCTGAAGTGCATTGAGGATTCTCTCTTCTTTGTGTTTTCTGCCCTTGTCTCCCTTCTCTAACACCTTTCCTACCCACCACAACACTCTGCAACACAATAGACCCCCAAAACATATCTTTTCCATTGTTTTGATTAAGATCCTTCCTGACTCTTATTCCTGGAGCTGTTGATCTGAGCCGTTAATTGCATTGTTGTTGTTGTTAGGTGCCATCCAGTCGATTCTGACCGATAGCGACCCCGTGTGACAGAGTAGAACTCTCCCATAGGGTATACTAGGCTGTAATCTTTCAGGAGCAGATCGCCATGTTTTTCCTTCTGCAGAGTCACTGGGTAGGTTCACACCGCCAGCCTTTAGGTTGGCAACTGAGCGTTTTAACCATTGTGCCATCAGGACTCTTTCTAATGGCATTAGTGTGGTATTATTCCTTACCTTTAATTCTCCAAGATCTGCTTCACTGGGCACTGATTGTATGTAGGTTTTATCTCAATAAAACTTAAAAATTAAAAAAAAATTTTTTTTTCTAGTTTCTCATACAAAACTTTATACACACACTGCTGTGTGACCCTAGTTGCACTCCTCATACTGTGACGGCACACTCCTCCTTTCCACCTTGGATTTCCTGTGTATATTCAACCAGCTCCTGTCCCTTTCTGCCTTCTCATCTCACCTCTGGACAGGAGCTACCCATTTAGACTCATTTATCTACTTGAGCTAACAAGCACACTCTTCATGAGTATCATTTTAAGTCTTATACTCCAGTTTAATCTTTGTCTGAAGAGTTGGCTTACAGAATGGTTTTAGTTTTGGGCTAACAGAGAATCCGGGGCCATGTCTTCTGGGATCCCTCCAGTCTCAGTCAGACCATTGAGTCTGGTCTTTTTACTAGAATTTGAGTTCTGTACCCCACTTTACTTCTGCTCCATCAGGGACTCTGTGTTGTGTTCCCTGTCAGGGCGGTCATTGGTGGTAGCCAGGCACCATCTAGTTCTTCTGGTCTCAGGCTGATGAATTATCTGGTTTATGTGGCCCTTTCTGTCTCTTGGGCTCATATTTTCCTTGTATCTTTGGTGTTCTTCTCCTTTGCTCCAGGTGGGTTGGGGCCAGTTGATGCAGCTTAGATGGCTGCTTGCCAGATGCCAGTCACCAAAGTGAGATGCAGAACATTTTCTTAATAAACTTTGTTATGCCAGTTGACCTAGATGTCCCC